ATACGGCTTAGTCTACCCAATCAGTTTATGGATAGTGTCCAATAGGTCAGCTTCAAGCTGGGTCGTTAGGGAAATCAAGTCCCATTAATATCATGACAACTCATCAAAGGTGCAAATCTTAGCCATAAATGATGTTTTCTGCAGTTTCTCGGAAACATGTAATGAATGCAAGATCGATTTTGATGCATACTACTAAACAGCACTGTATCATTCTGCTAAACTGAAAATTTATGCATAGATCCAATAGCCAATGATAGAAGAGACATGGTTCTTTTGATCTCATAATCAGATATGATTCATAAAAAAATAAAGAAATCTGAGTGGTGTTTTTCTTTGTTGTCTTCCATTTTAGGGATATATACAACATGTTTACCATTCTTGCACATCAGCCTCATGAATAATTGCAAGCTTATCCTGTCTTTTCTTAGAGTGTTACACTGATATCTATTTCCCCATTTTTATAGATTGTGCACTGGAGAAACCATTTGAAATTTCCTGAGGATGCAAAGTTGTCAAATGAAGCAAGAGATCTCATTTGCCGGTTATTATGTGATGTTGACCACAGGATTGGCAGTGCAGGAGCAGATCAAATAAAGGTAGCGCCTGTCACAGAAAAAAAACCCTATAGTTCTTGTCTTGTTTACTGTTTTTCTTGCTATGTTTACTATATGTTCTCCTTTACAATTAGGCACATCCTTGGTTCCGAGGAGTTGCATGGGATAAACTTTATGAAATGGAAGCAGCATTTAAGCCTCAAGTAAATGATGAACTGGATACACAAAATTTCATGAAATTTGAGGAAGTAAGTGAATCACTTTGCACTTTATTTTTTTTACTGCTCTACAGTTCTTTAAATTGTACACTTAAGTCCATCTGAAGCTACAGTGATAGGTTTACTCTTGTTCCTGCTTTGGATTCTTCAAACTGTAAACTTTGTCAATCAACAAACTATTGCCTTCAGAATATGGCATGTAATTAATTGAAAGAGGCCGCTGGTATTATTTGATTGATTTTCTTGCATTTTATTCCACCTTCAAGGAACATTTAAATATTTACATGAATGAGGCTATGTTTGTAACTATGTTTTTGTTCATATTTGCTTGACTGTATGGATGCCTAAGTTTCTGCTTTCTGAGCTTGGCACTATTTTTTACTTTCTTGTATATTTTTGTTGCTAGCTCATGAATCGTGTTTCTCCAACTTACTTCATTATTCTCTGTGGCAGTTGGAAAATCCTCCAGCCAAAACTGGCTCTGGGCCTTCAAGAAAGGTATGCATGTACATTCAGATTCAGAAACTAGCGTAAAAAAACACTGAAGCTCTAAAGTTCATCATTTTTTTGCATTCCAGCTTGCTAGTGTGCCGTGTAACTGTTTTCCTGAGTTTATTTTTCATCAGATTATGATTGTCTCACACCCTCTATTCATGTTGATACAAGCTGTCATGAGAAAATTAGGTGGATAGTGTTTACACTGGACTATCCGTATTCATACTAGTATTACTGCTGTAAGGTATAGGATTAATTCGTTGCCTAACGATGGTTATATAAGCTGCTATTTAGAAATGTTTTTTGCACCAGTTACCTCAATTTTAAAATCACCTGCCTGTCTTAGTAGAATTTATGTTAATTTCGTCTTAGATATCTACATCTATTTTTTTTCCCTTTGTATTCTCAATCTTATGTATCTATTATGTAACAAATCTACAGATGATGCTAAACTCCAAAGATCTGAGCTTTGTGGGGTATACATACAAAAACTTTGATGCAGTGAAAGCAATAAAAATTTCAGGTTTGTCTCCTTAATCCTTATGACATTGGTACTCATCAAGAAGTTGTGTGTTGAATTCTGCAAGCAGTCATTGTTTCAGGAACTTTAGTAATGTTCCATTGAATTACCAGTGTTTACATGCCTAGTTGTCAATGGCATCTAAATGGACATTATGCTCTAATGTTACTTCTGAACTGAAAGACTGAAACTATAAATGCATGCAGATCTGCAAAGGAATTCATCTCTAACAAGGCCTTCCATTGGTTCGATATTCGGTAACATACTTCTGCCAGTGACATGTAACCTCTATTTTGATCACATCCTGCATCTGCTCTTATCTTATATTTGATAAATTATCAATCTCAGGTCCACCAGGCATGGATTCTCCCATGGAACCTAACGGGAGGGACACACATATGCACACAGTTTCATCTGGTGATCCAATGATTCCCTAACCTGCAGTGCTGTTTGTCCTCAGCAACTTTCCGAACTAAATCAGCATGCAAATGCCTGGATGACGTGGCTCCAGCTGGACAACCTGCTCATTTTTAGCCAGGTTTCTGCTTTCTAAATCGTGGGCAAGGGGTTTGTAGAGATCCACCAAAGTTTCTAGTTGTAAAATAGTAATGCCACAGACTTTAACAAAGGTCCCATGTACTAAGGGCTCATCAGACATGGGGGCAGGTTTTTTTGGAGAAATTGCACCTTGCGGCTGGCTGCCCAGGTTGGCGGAGCAAATTGCGGCCTTCTCTTGTGGCAGTTCCCGGTCCGCTAACATTTGATCATGGGAGGGAAATAAGATGATGTTATTGTGGCAGGAATTCTCATGGGTGTTAGTGTTGTTGGTGTTTGATATGTATCAGGAATTTTTCCCATTTGAAGTAGGGTTTCTGTTAGCAGAGTTGTAGCTATTTACAAGGAACATACTTTTACAGAGTTGCTATTTCTCATTGATGTATGGAAAACGACATATTTTGGAGATCGAAGTTCGATCTAACTTCTATGCTGCATATCTGATCCAGATTACATAAAATATGATTCATCCGATATATTCAGATCGGCGACGAGGGAAAGAGGGAGGCAGGCAGTGGGCTGCGCCGCGCCTCTGTGCATCGGCCTCGAAATTTGGCGGCGACGTGTCCAATACCGGTTTAGAGATGGGCGCGGCGGGACATCCACCTGCTGCGCATTGCTTGTTGCTGGGCCATAATCTTTAGTTGAGGCCCAGCAGCTCGTTCTTCTTTTCACCGTTACCTGTTCCTTTTCTTTTTTCAATATATAATCTATATGCAATATAAATATATGTGCTAGCCAATTCATCTAAAATTGGATGGATAGATTTTTTTTTCTGACTGGTTTCATCGGCAGATAGATTCCACCACATATCTTCGACAACTAATAAAACTCAAAAGATGTTTTAAGGTTATCAAAGCAACTTTAACAGGTCCCTACTTTTAGCCTCCAGAATCAAATTAGGAGCACCGAGCACGTACGACGGGGATGGGTTACTAAACTGATCGGTGACGGTGAAATGGTCGGCGTCGGCGTACGTCTGCAGCAGACTGGCGGACAGCTCTGAAGTGGTTGTCGTGCTGTGTGCATGTCTACCCTGCTCTTCGTTCCATGGAGGCACACGACCTCTCACGCGCCACACCCTATTCGCTTGATCATTTCTGTGGTTTTTAAGTCGGCTGATGCTATTTTGTTGTGAGAGAAAAATATTATATCATAGCTGATAAGCATGACTGATACGATTAAGCGAACAGGTACCAGCCGCCAACCACCGACATGACAGGATGGCCAGCATGCTTATCGGTTCCGAGCCCACCGCGCACGCCGTCAAAGCAAGCCCTGCTCTTGCTTCCGGCCATGGTGTGAGACTGAGTGTGACACTGTAGCAAATTGGAAATTTGAGCTTGTAACCAAGCACTGATTCTTGGTTAGTCGATTTGTTTGGAGAAGGTGATAGTCTGGTTCTGATAGACGTCAGCCACGTGCATTGTGCGCTCTTAGACAAAAGGGAGGTCAAGGCAGAGCCATGCAAGCATCTATCGCTGCCTGCACTATAGCTAATTAGCTAGTCGTCCTTGCACTCTGGCTGATGATATTTTTACTCCTTTCGCATCCGTTAATCACGTGGTTTCCCCTCGCTTAGCTAGCTACAGTATATATACCCCATCCGTTCCTAAATGTACGTCGTTTTCACTTCCCGAGAAACAACTTTAACTAAATATATATTAAAAATATTAATATTTATGATACATAATTAATATAATGGATATATATTTGAATCTAATTTTTTAATAAATTTATTTAGAGATAAAAATGTTACACGTATTTTATATAAATCAAGTTAAAGTTATCGGACTAACGTCTAGCAACGGAGGCGTAGGTAATAAGGGCCCAAACTTCATAGGTGAATAGTACGGCTCACTGGCGCCCACAATTCGGTAGTACTAGTCCGTAGTACTAGTCAGGCTTTCAAGTTTGACCACAGGCGAAGCGAGCAGCTAGGAGAGGACAGCACGCACGTTTCCACGAATAATCCACCGAATGTTCTAACCCGTAACAAAATGCATGCATGCACCGATGGCGATGGTTGGAGAGCCGGGCATATTCCGTTCCGGGAACATGCATGTGCGAAATCGACGTGTGCCGGCCGGCTTCTTCATCGACGTGTCCCGATGGGCTCGTTTGGCTGGTTGAAAAACCAGCCGGATTTTACTGTGTGTGGATGAAAAATATTGTTCATTCTGTTCACTTTCTCATAAATTCCTCTAAATTCATTCAGCGAATAGGGCCGATGAGAGCGCGGATCAGAGGTGCATCCAATTGGAAAAGGGGTAAAGTTAACACATGAGTTTCTGTACACCACGTCGGCGGCCGATCGACCTGCAAGCCGCCGTGAATTCTCTATGTACACACGCATACACGGATTTACAAATGCTGTACACAAATCGTTAAACAGGAATTAACTGAGAATTGTGATGGCTCCAAAATACTCCTATATATAATGCACCCTCCTCCGCCCAAGTCAAGGTCAAGTCCACAGGTCGTCGTCCGAACCGCTCCAAGCCTCGGTCCGCGCACCGCCGCGCAGTGACGGCCGGCCGGCCGGCGGCGGCCGCGTCGGGTACGTCGATCGAGCCAGCGAGCGTCACGCACGGCACCACCGCGGCGCAGCGAGGGAGATGCCCCCATGCACGCGCACGCGGCCGGCCTCCACTCCAACTACGCAGCGGCAGCGGGCATCATGCACACGCGCAGCGAGAAGGCCACGACCACGGACGCCACGGCCACCACCATCCCCCACTTCTGCACCCTGGCCACCGCCGCCTCGCCGCCGGGCCTCGCCACGATCGAGAACATGGACAGGCCCAGGCTCGAGAAGAAGCCGAGGCTGATGAACGCCATGTCGGCGCAGTACAGCAGAGGGTGCTGCCCCTGCCCCGACGCCGACGTCGCCGGCGGCAGCGCGGCGCCGGGCTGCTGCTTGTTGCTGGAAGGGAGGTTGGCGAACAGCACGAGCGAGGCGGACGCGGCGAAGAGGCAGACGGTCTGGACGCTCTTGCCCACGCGCCTCGACTCCGCGTCAACCTCGGTGGCAGCCGGCTCCTCCTGGCCCTCCGCCGGTCCTTCGGGGGCGGTGGGGGCCAGCGGCGTCGTTGTCCCCGCCTCGATGTCGAACGGGTGGCTGGCCGCGGTCGTCGTGGCCGGTGCAGCAGGCGCCGCCGCTTCTGGTGCTGCCGGCGGAGGAGGAGGAGCGGCGGCGGCCTCCTCCGTCTGCGTGGGGCGCCAGAGCTCGACGTCGTGCTCCTGCAGCAGGCTGGTCCGGTCGTTGAAGGAGCCGGTGAAGCTGAGCACGCGGGAGATGAATCCGCCGTAGCTGTTGGTGGAAGCGAAGGTGGACGTGATCCGGTGAAGCGTCGGCCGGATCATGCTAGACAAGTCCATAAGTTCCCGCTACAAAGGTCTCCACTTCACTATACCACTCTTCTCTACCGCTACCGCTGCCAGTACGTAGTCTAGCAGTAGCTATAGCGCATCACTTGCCACTCTATTGGGGTTTATTTATAGGGGAGAGAGCCCTAGGCGAGACGGGATGGTAATTAACGTAACGACGGCCGGATCATTAGTGTATCATATAGTTAGATTAAAGAATGCGTGTTGTGGACTACTAGGAGAGAAAAATTAAAAACGCTAGCCGCCTTTATATGCAAAAAGGCTCCTCACGGCACGGTGAAATAGCCTGCATTTGCATTGACTTCCCAAAGGGGGCCAGAAACTAAACATGCGGTAATAATTAATGGAGCGTGCAGATATACACATCTGACGTACGTATGATGTCCATCTTACGTGCACACCAGCGACGACTAATTAAGACAAGGTAGGGCAAAAGAACCGTGATATACTGTACATGGGAACGAACATAAAATGCCATCGATCGGGTCCCAACAGTAAAAAATTGAGTTGGTCTGGAGGAAGACAAGCAAGCTTGCCTAATTTCATCATCAGTGCATAGTTCGCTTACCGACAGAGACAAGTAATAAATATTAAACAAAGTATACATGTCAAAGATTCCTCAATACAAGTATATATATAGAAAAGTAGGCGAACTTCTGTATTGTTCTTTAGGCCTTGTTTAGATTGCAAGTTTTTTCACTCTCTTCATCACATCAAATCTTTAGATACATGCATGGAGTATTAAATGTAGATAAAAAAATAACTAATTACACAGTTTGATTGTAAATTACGAGACGAATCTTTTGAGCCTAGTTAGGCCATGATTGGACAATAATTGTCAAATACAAACGAAAGTGCTACAGTGCCAAATACTGATTCCTAACTTCAATCTAAACAAGGCCTTAGTATTTGGCTCTAGCCACGTCTGGATTTTCTCGCCATGTCCTATCTAGGATTTTTGGTAAATTGATCCAATTTAACACACACACACACACATATATATATATATATATATACTCTGTCTCTAAATAAACTAGTAATTTCTAGAGTTGTCTTACATCGAAATTTCATATTTAGTCAAATTTATTGAAAAGAGCACTATATGCTTCTAAATTCGGTTTTAAAAAATCTGAGGGCAGAGGTAGTAATTTTTTAATATCACAAATATTATATTATTTATATTAATACTACGTACAAATATGTATAATCTACACTACATATCAACAACCAACGTTGGCCGTACCACCCTACTAGCTACGCCACTGTTTTCTCCACTCCACCTTGATCCTAATTTCCATGTCCAGCGCGCGAGATTTCCATTTTTACTCCCATTTCCTTCGTGTGCATGTCACTGTCAAAATGGTGGGTTCTCCTAGTATTTTTAAATACTAATAAAATAATACCACTAGTCATAGCACATGAGAATCCTCACTAGGAGACATTTGGTAGATAAAGTTTATACTTAAATGTTGAATGCTAAAACAATAGAAGAATCTCATATCACTAGGAGAAATTGGAGATTCTGGTGTGGTACGAAGATTTTGGACAAACGCCAGTAAGTTGAGCAAACAAAAAGATGTACGTGTGGATACTGTAGCTTTTGCTCTCTGACCATTCTATAACTTTCTCTTATCATAAGTACATCTAGCAGTATTATATCATAGCTTGTTCAAAACTGTAATCGTAACGAAACTAAGGCCCTGTTTGGGACAGGTTATAATCATCGTACCATAGGAATATTTTTTGATTCTCGATTGTGCTAGTTCAAAGTTCTGAATGGACAGCCAAAACAATCAGAAATGATGTGCCAGTGGAGTAGGACGTTGCATATGTCTATGTTTATATTAAATGACGTGCCTGTGGGGTGGGGTTGGGGGGATTATGGTGAGTAAAAAAACTCGATCAGGAACGGGGTGAAAGTGGTGTGGATATATAATTCTCCGCTCTGACCCGAATCCAAATCCAAATTTTAATGATATTGGGAAGAACTTTTAATATCCATACGGATATGGATAATTCAAATCCAATTCTGTGCGGATGGGGGTAGGATATATGATGAGGACATCACTCCATCGGATACAATCCCTATCACTAATTCGACACCGAATTCTTTAGAAGGACCAATGACAAGGTCTCGTGCACGTCATTTGAATTATGAGGTGCGTTCGTTCCTTATGTTACATACTAATATTCATGAGGATGGGATGCTACTAAAGTCTTGTGATGTCTTACTGCTTAGGAACATGGGATCTATACAGTTTATATCCAACGAGCTATGGTTTACGCAAAGCAAAAGAGCTCCCGCAAGTCTTGATACACCATTTACATCAAGCCAATTGTCGCTCATGCCAACTTCAACCTCTATACCAAATTTACGCTCAAGCAACAAACGTTTACATGCACAAGACTGAGTTCATATGACAAGTACTCCAACTTCACATAGAAATCTGTACCAACATGTGAAGTTTAGTGGTGCATGCTATACATATGGTTGGAAAGGCTATCAAGTCTACTTTCCAACCCAACAAACAGAGCATCTTTTGGACTTCCCACTAAAGACTTATGGTTGATTTACTAAAAGCTGCGCAGAAGCTCAGAAGATGCAGGAGAACTTAAATAGACTGCATGGAAGCAGAGCCAATTGATCTTCCACTTCCACAAGTGGTGACCTGCACCCATAGCCTTCTAGGAGAGTTGTTTTCTACTATAAAAATCACCTATGTACTGCTACAAAACTTGGGTTTTGCTTAGATTGCATCTGCACACTTTGTTTGTGAGATTTCGCCTCTATATCAGACCAACTAGGCTGCTACTTCGGTTTGTGATTCCCCAAATTGTAATTTCAGATTGCCTTTACCAGTTCTTGCTTGTGTTCTCAGATCGCTTACAGGGATTAGCCTTCTTGGCGAGGTCATCCGGGTTTCATGCTCGGTTGATAACCATCGGAGCAGTGGTGTTGTGATTGTAAGGGAGTCGATCTGCTCGGTCGGAGTCCTTGGATCATCTACGTCATGATCTCCACAATTCGACTTATCATCTACCAACCGGAAGATCGGGCCTTAGTTCCCATTATCTGGTATCAAATTGTCAGGTTTACAGCTAGGTATTATCTCACTCTTCCTTTAGTTTTTATATTGTGTTCATCACCTACAGTCCACACAAAAAAAGCCAAAAACAATCCACTTATTTTCCGCTGTAGGACAGTGTTGTTGAGTTTGTATCCGTGGTCGAGTTTTTGTTGCTGGTCTAGAGTCGTGTTCTTGGTCTTAGTTCAATCGCTCGTGCTTTGTTTTTGTGCCGTTATCCCATTTCCACCACCCCAACAACACATCGAGCCATCACACTACTCGATTTGCCCCACAAGCCACCTTGTGTTTACTCTCACCACACTCAGCCCTAGATAGGTCGCAAGCTGCCTTGTATCACTCGCCTTGCTACTACAGCCCTCCTTGCTCATCTAGCAAATCCTATTACTGCTTTGTCTTGGTTGCCTAGTTTATGCAATCCTCTAAGAAACTTTGCCAAGGTTATATTTATCTTGTTGTTCCTGTGTCGCAGTTACACATGTTGTGTTTGTCTTCGTGCCTTATGTTTTAGTTTTGAGAAGAGTTCAAGAGAAAGAGATGGTTCTCCAAAACTAGAATCAGGTTCCACCCTAGAGAAAAGAGAGCTCCCAAGAGCTCTAGTTGGTAACGTGTAAAAAAACAAAGATAAAAGGAAAAATAGAGTGAAAAAAGAGGTAAAAAAGGGAGAAACAAAGTGACGTGGAAAAAAGAGAGAGGTAAAAAAATAAAACAGAAAAGAGAGAAAAGAAAAGAAAGAAGAAAACAAGAAGCAATATGTTCATTCAGCTTTGTGTTTGGTGTTTGCTGCTTGGTCCTTGGTCCTTTCTTTTATCTTGTTGTCCTAGGTCTAGGGACACGTTAAGGACCAACAACCGTGACTTGTGCTTTGGATATCTATTCAACTTTGCAACTCTGTTCACGTATTTGCTAACCCTTGCTATATATTGAGCCTTCCAAGCTCCACCTTTCTCTGTCTGAATAGATTTTTCCTTGCAATCTGCCCACGCTCGATGATTTATCACGAACCAGCCACCGGTTGACCGCCCCTGCTACGTTGGTAAGAACACTTGCAAGCACGTGGTAAGGTGCTTGAGTGTGAGTGATTCCACTTCTACTGCCCCGTAGTTGATAGGGTTACTCCCTTATTATTGTTCTTTGTTCACTAATTAATCATGTCAGGTGCTGCTGCTCCTACTGATTTTAGCGATTGCGTGTCAAAGGATGAACTCAACAATATTCTGCGAGAACAACACAATACCCAATTGCAGCTCCTTCGGGACATTCAGACAAGCATTGCTAACCTTACCACTGGTGTCGACAATCTTGAGCAGGCGCCCGAAGAGCCCATCCATGGAGATGACGAGGATGATGATGCTAGCAATGCTGGGCAAGATGGCCATAGACACGATGGTGGACGTGACCAACATCGACAAAACCACCACCACCAAGGTATGGGAGGTAACAATGGTCGAGCTGATCCTTATTCTAAGGTTAAGTTTGTCATCCCTTCTTTTGATGGATCATATGATGGAGATGCTTATCTTGATTAGGAGATGATTGTTGAGCAGAAATTTAACACCCATATGGTTCCTGAAATTCATCGAGTTCGTCTTGCTACTTGTGAGTTCATCGGATATGCTATTTTGTGGTGGAACGAGCTTGTTAATTCTGGTTTGGAACCTAACACTTGGGATAGATTAAAGCAAGCTATGCATGGTAGATTCCTTCCCACAACATATAAACGTGATTTGAAAAAAAATTGCAACGACTAAATCAAGGAAATAAATCTGTCAACGACTACTATCAAGAGATACAAATCACCATGCTTCATTGTGATGTACAGGAACGTGATGAGGATAGAATGGTTCATTTCATTCAGGTTTACATCGAGAAATTTAGGACATTGTTGATTATAAGGATTATAAT